CGTCGTCGTGGTGTGTGTGTGTGTGTGTGTGTGTGTGTGTGTGTGTGTGTGTGTGTGTGTGTGTGTGTGTGTGTGTGTGTGTGTGTGGTGTGTCACCGTCACGTCATCATATCCTGTAGAGACATGCAACCCTCAGCATGCACACAAACACGTCATGCAGAGGCTGCAGGATCCAGAAATAGAGCAGGGACATCCTCCATACAGTCTCTGTCATAGCAACGTCAGCATCTTTCATTGAGTGTCTCATTACGGGAATCACAAACCGTTTTCACAGTTTGGCTTCAGTGACGGTTGGCTGCATGTTGCTGGTTGATTACATCATAGGCTTCTTTAAATGGACACTAGACATGATATATGAAAAATGCACAAACTGATATTAACTTATTCATTGTAATGTCAAGAAAACATAAGCATTCGGCCGTGAAAGTATTGCGATGTGTTTGTTCAGGCATGTTCTTTTGCAAAACCTGCTTCCCCGTGTAATGAGATATACGTTAATGTCTCGTCATTTTCTTTCAAGTTTGCTGAATGTCTGATAAAATATAGAGGGACATGCTTCTGCATAAAAGTCTCACTAAATATCCTTGAAAACGAATCTATTATATGAAAGAAATTGAACAAGATTATAAAAGAGTTGGTTTGTAGAAAGTCAAAGCAATTCACTTAAACTTATTGAAGACCTATTGACGTGCGTGATTCTTGTTTTTGAGTTTGTATTTTCACCTTTCCTTGCACTTTCTTTGCATAGAAGCATTGGCTAAATGAAATGTAATGGATTGTAATTGAAGGTTGAATTTCGGGGTATTAAGGTGTACTTCAGCCAGTGAATGTCATTCCTCTGCATTGTGTTAGTTTGTGTTGTGGGTCACTGACGTGGAGCTGAGCTGGAATGTGCCTCTCAGTCAGATGTAGGCCAGTGTGCAGCTCTGCTATAATGGCTCCTGTTGTGTCATACGTGAGAATGATAGCAGCGGTTCCCACACTCAGCTGCCTCAGTGTAGAGCCGAGCGCAGTGCCAACGATACCCAGGGTGATGGGTGTGATTCCCACTGTGGACCAACGCTCAACATCTCTGCTCTGTGAAGTAAGGTTGTCTTCACGCCGCATCTCAAAGTATCACAACTCTGATTCTCCTCCTCTCATGAGACATGCAGCACCTCTGATGTGTTTAAAAGAGTGAAACAGAGTTGATTCTTATCCATTTCAGTTCAGCTGATGTGTTTTTAAAAGTCGTTGTGCAACAATGGAGATAGCTCAGAGGAATAAGATATATTTTCATCCCTTAGTGGTTTTATGGAAATTGTTAACAATATAAAAAAGTAGAATCATCCCTATTGAGGCAAGGGGCCATTTAATTGGTTAATCTCAGGTACGCTAAAGAAAAAATGCAAACATTTCTGAAATTAGAGATAAAGAAATGTTCTTAATCATTTAGTGTGAGTAATAACACCTCAGGAGGATGTTTGTGTGATTTACTTTAGTGACTCTTTGATAGAATGAGATTTTCATAATAATTCTTGACATTAAGAAGAATGTAGAATAGCCCCTGTCAATGTAGAGACTGTGCAGTAAATCTGAGAAGAAGTGCACACATTGCTGAAAGGTCGGGGGATTAATCCATGGAAACATTTAACAAATATTTGGTGCTAGAGAACTCAAGAAAATGTTTGGCCACTATTGGGATCACGTGTACAATGTTTGTGTTGTACGGTACTCCTTAAAATAGGTTTGTACAAAAGCAGAACAGGTTTCTTGATCTCTGAGCAGCAAATCTCCTGTGACACCTTCTTAAACATGATACTTTTCTCTCTGCAGAGTGGGAAAGCTGAAGGAGACGCTGGTGACGGTGCAGCAGCTGGATAAGAACATGAGCAATCTGCGGACATGGCTGTCTCGCATGGAGGCGGAGCTCGCCAAACCCGTGGTGTACGACGTGTGCCACAGCGAAGAGATCCAGAGGAAACTGGCTGAGCAGCAGGTGGGAGCAATGATCCTTGTTTAAATAAGCAGCATATAACTCCATCCTGGAAGTCGAACTTAAGGGTCTCCTATCATGAAAAATGCACTTTTCGATGTCTTTTATACATAAATATGTGTCCGCGGTGTGTCAGGGAACTCACAAAGTGTCAGAAATAAAACCCTCTCTTTTCCTCCGTACCCAAATCTCTAAAAACGGGGGTATAACAGAGCTGATCCAGATTTGCGTCCGATATGACGTAATATCTGAAATGTGGACCCACGGCCCTATCAGAAACGTTGCTATCAGAAACAATGCCCGACGTATTTTGGACGTAATATGGTCTGTGTTTACATTAGCAAGCATCGCTAACACTCAGAGCTAACCTGTACTGGAAAGAGTGTAAAAAAAAGCAGGAAATAAAAAAAAAGGAACTCACCTTGTGGTATAACCGGCAAGAGAAAAAGCCTTTGAGCTCCATACTGTTTCAGAAATAATCCTTAATGTGGTTTTGAACATGATACGGCGTTTGATCACGGCTGTATCTGGGTAGAATTCTCCCGATCAGATACTCAGCATATGCTTCTTTTTTTTTCAAGCTAAGAACCTGCAGTTCTCTAATAGGGCTGAAATAGAGGGATATGAGGGATGTCTGAAATGCAGGATCTGTTTGGTATTTTGGGCAAAGGCAAGGCAAGTTTATTTATATAGCACTTATCTGTACGCGACAATTCAAAGTGCTTTAAAAAACAAATTAAAATACTTTTTAGGAATAAATACATTAAAAACACATTATACAATTTTACAACAGACATTACAAAGCAAAGATAATAAAATAATAAAAATAAGCACCACAGGTATACATACTGTAGTTTGAATATGAGCAGCTCAATTAAAAGCAGCAGCAAAGAGATATGTTTTTAGTCTCGATTTAAAAATAGTAAGCGTTTCTGCGGACGTGCATGATTTGGGTAGTTTGTTCCAGAGTGTCGGGGCATAATAGCTAAATGAAGGGGGTAGCAAGTTCGAGTCCCACTGCTGTCAGCATGTGGTCGTGTCCCTGAGACACTCTCTTGCTTGGTACTGATGTTGCTGGGACAGAGAGATATGCTTTGGCCATGGGTGACAGCAGTGGGTCAAACTGTACATTGTCTCTCCACCACTTCAAAAACAATACCGTTTTTGCCAAGAAGGTGAGGCTTATTGACAGGGCGAGATATAAATATACTGTTGGTACTTGTCAATGTCTCTAGGTATGTACATGTAGCCCTGTAAATACGATGTCCTTTTGTGTTGAGATT